ATAATTCAAATATCTATGGGTGACCTCTTTGCACTCCTGTGATTTTCAAAAACCCCAGTGCTCTGTGAAGGCACTCTATCATTATCATGTGCAGAGCAAGTTAAAAGCCTTTTGTTCTTTATTTTATTTTATTTTTTTTCCTCTTCCACTGGTAGGTACCTTGCCAGGAGAGGTTCTGTGGATCATCAACAACATGGGGTTAATTTTAAGTGGAATAGAAGAGCTCAAATGTTTTGAACTGCTGATTCAGGGGCAACACTTGAACACAGAGTAACTATACTGAGCAGGCAGAAGAGTGTTACAGGGAGCAATCCTTTTTATGCTCATCTTGCAAAGATTTTGAATTGTGATTAAATTCATCAGCAGAGTCTGAGAACCTCAAGTGTGGATGTTTTCCCAATTCACAGTTTATGCAATTATGAATTATTAGAGTCCAGCAGTCTAATGATACTGTCAAACCCCAAAGGAACCTGATTGCTCTAAAACACAGCCTCTCCTATAAGCCTTTTGAACACGATGCCTACAGCACCTCATAGCAGTGATGTTTCCAGGCAAACTGGAAACCTCTGTAATGGAGCTCAGGAACATTAAACACAGAAGTTTTCTCTGACATCCTGCAAGGTATTAATTAAAGCATTAAGGGCAAACCTTTCTCTGTATTCACTGCAGAGCTGATGTTTTACTCACAAGTTTTCCGCATTTTACAGGTGAACAATAGAGTTAACCTTCCAAAACTTAGAGTGGAAGCTTATAGCAGAGACCATAAAATGCAATGAGAATTGCTTATCACCCAGTGAATCCTCACATGTACTTTTACAGTGGTTTTCTCCCAAAGGGTATGCCAAAAATCTTGAGTTAGTGTCCTGATTTTCAGCCCTCATCAGCTGTGAGGGGACAGAGCCTGGATATATGTGGGTTTGGCCCAGACACTAATGCTATTCAGTATTATCCTATGTCATTGTCAGGATGGAGAGAAAGGGATTCTCTCTTGCTTCAGAGAATAAAGGGCATTCCTTTTCCAGAGGAGCAAGCATGGTGGACAGAGTGGTGCAATAACACTGGTTCCAACTGGAGAGGATGGTTTGGGTGACATGGCTGTGTTTTGGTTGAGCTCCCCACTCTTTTATGGTACACATTTGTTATTACTATTCTTGCTGTTATTGTACTTTTTTTATATCATTGCTGTTTCCAGTAAATTGTTCTTATTAGAGCCCATGATTTTTGCCTTTTGTGCATCCAATTCTCCTCTCCAGCCACCCCCAGGTGGAATGGATAGGGGGGGGGGAAGCAAGTGATTGGTATGTGATTTTGTAGTCTTGGGGTGGGTGGCACCAAATTGGAGAGTAGCATTCCTAAACCATGATACCTAGTACTTCTGATTTACACATTTTGGAAAATAAAGCAGGTTTTTTAGGTATACAAAGTTTGGAGGCTAATTCTGGGAATTCTGGGAATTTGTTCTTGGTCAGCAAAGGTTGTGAGCAGCATTCCCACCTTTTTCTCCCTTGTTAACTTCTGTGTAAAACAAAAGAAGAGAGTGGCTTATGATGGACATGGCATGTGGAACAGCAGCCAGAACTGGCTTAGTTCTGCTGTGTGTAAGGAATTATAGTAAAGAAATAAAGGTATACAGAGGTGAATGGAAAGTATATTTTTAAATAACACTCTCGCATTATCTCAAAATTAGTTCTATTGGACATACCATAAGAACACAAGTCTTTTCCTCTGGAACGATCTCTTACTAAAAGTAAGAGGGGTGGAATCAATGAGGTCATAAGAACCTTTCATTAATTCCTTTTGTCTTTAGCTCTGTCTGGAAAAAGAAGAATATAACTGTTTGTACAAGGTTTGTACCAACTTATAGCATCTACTGTACTGTGTAGCATCTCTATATTGGTACACACTGCCATACCTTCTATCACGAAAGCACCCAAAATGTAGGTATTTATTCCAAGTCCAAATCAGAAAAACATGCACGTTCAGGAGAGCTATAAAGCCAACATTTTACCCTTGTGCTAACAACCAAGTACTCTGCCCCAGAATGTCTGGGCCTTAAGCCATGACTGAACACAAGGATTCCTGTTGCTGTGTTACCCCACAGCAAAAAAGGATATCCCATTAGGGTTCCCTCTGAAGGGGCTCCAGGGAATAACAGCATGTTTTACTTGTTGGAACTTCCTCTGTGCAAACTGAGACAAGACTTTGAAATAGCAGTGTCAGGATCAGTGTCAGGATGAGGTTTGCTTGATAGAGAGCCAGACCCATCACAACAGAAATTCAGAATGAAAAAATGCATACACACAAAACCCATGTGCTTTCCTGCCATTTCCTCAAAGCGGGACACACCTACAATTGTGTCAAGACGATGATCATGCACTTGTCTGTCAGTCAGCTTGTCAATTCTTTGCAACAGAAATCATCCCAGGAATTACAGAGTTTTGTTTTCCTAAAAGAACCAGAGTCTTCATCAGAGAGCAGAGACCTTTTCCAATAGCTTAGTGTGGGCAAGGGTTTGAGTAACATACCCCCTGCTGTGTGGTCAGATGACTTGCAGAAACCCTCCTGGTTTTCAGTACCAAGGGAAAGTCATATATCTCTGAATCTGCACACACTGGAAGAATGTATTCCAGAATGAATCATAATTCAAAGTTCAGGTTTGAATGTTTGCTGTTTTATCTGTGCCTCCTTCAAATATTTATACCTATCTCCATGGCAAAACAAAACCATTCTCCTTTTTGAAGATAGGTTTTAACATTGTGGGAAATGTTCTGCAAATCAACAAATCCATATACAACATCCTTGGAGGTCAATGCAAAAACAACACACCACTTCCATACAAAAATCTGGCCCAATGGCACAAGCTGTCCCAAGTGTAGTTGACTTTAAGGAAGATTTATGTCTAGGATGACAGCAGGGACCTTTCTTTAGGAATAAGGGATAGTGCTCACAACCCTACACTGAACTTCACATAGCACTGACCAAGAGTGACACCTCTTCAACTGCATTTTTCATTTCTTTTTTGGCTTTGCAAAGCCCCCCGGAATAGCTGGCCACAGATTTGGAATTACACCCCCATGAATAGAATAACTCTATCCCTTTGTCTTCCACGTTAGTTAACCCACACCTTAAATAGCCTTCAAACATAGGCATCAAAATCAAATAATTTACCATGATCTTCAGATATACAAATACACATTGAGATCTGCCATCTTATAATTAATTTAAAACCTTACCTCAAAAAGTCACGAAGAGCTGTATTTCTCAGCTAGCAGAGAATCTAGCCCTTTACATAACCACTACACTATAAAAATAAGCATGTTTTCTCCTTTGTATTTACTCTTTTCAGTTGTTAATATCCTGCATATTTAGGAATATGTTTCTATTCACCTGATTACTATTTCTATGTGGGCCCTGCTGTTGCTCTGTCTCACTGATGAACCATCTGAGGCATTGAAACATGAATTAGCCAGCTGGAAAATGCACAGGGTGGTGAAAGAGCCAAAATTTTAACTAACCATTTCCAGATCCCAATCCCTTATTTCTTTAGATGCCCCGCGTTCTTTGTGCAGCAAAAATCTTGTTGGAAGGACCTGCTGGATGAATCAACCAACTTAAAATATGAACAATCTGAACTTTATTTTAATGTGGTTTGGTTTGGTTTGGTTTGGTTCGGTTCGGTTCGGTTTGGTTTGGTTTGGTTTGGTTCGGTTTGGTTCGGTTTGGTTTGGTTTAGCTTGTGGGGGTTTTGTTGGGCTTTTTTGGGTTTTTTTGTATTTATTTACTGTGTGACCTCTGAGTTGTCCTGGATCAAAAGTACCATCACACCATGACAATCACAGAAAACACTCTTTTCTTCGCAGTCCTCAGCCAGAGCTGCTGTTGACATCCTTTCTCCAAAGATTGTGGTGGCTTTCTACCTCAGCTCAAAACCTTTTGGGTCCTAACAGTGTTCCTTCCCCTTCTGTTGTGGCTTCAGAGGCCAGCTGAAGAACCTCTGGTGCTTGTGCTCAGACCTGACCACTGCCAGACACACACTGCCTGGCCAGTGAGGGTGGCTCTCCTGCGTGTTGTGCCTCTCTATCCAATCTGTAGGACACATGGCAAATATCTTCTCATGGCATTACAACCTTGTGTAGATGAATGGGGTTTTTGATAAATAAGACACTGGGATGAGAAGCTCTGCTCCTTGAAGTGTTGAGGAAATTTCCTCACTGTTTAGCAAACAGCCTACACTGTTGGGCTCTGCTAGAGAAAGCATTAATTAGCCCTTGCTTTGTCTTCTGACAATAGGATTAATATTTGATAGTCATAAGCTGCCTAACGCCAGGCAAGTTTCTAGGGAGAAGGCATGATGAAATTGGCAGTGTGTACACCTCACATCCTTGCAATTGTACGGAGTAAGGGTCAGTCACTTGGGCCTTTTTTGGGAAATGAATTTGGCATCTTTGGTGTAGGTTATGGCCAATCAGCAGTTGAACTGAAAAAATCAGTGCTGAAGTTGGCACCAATTTGACATTTCTATGTGATGCATTCATCCCACTTGCAAAATGTCAGCTTTCCCCAGTAAACTCCAGAACCTCAGCAGACTTTGGATCTAGAAAAATTTCCTTTTCTGGCAAGTAATAAAGAGTTAAAGTTAGTGGGAAAATTTTTTTATTAACTCTGACAATGGCTAATCCTTTCCACTGGAGTATTTTCCCAGTGATAATGGAATCACACAAACATTTTGTATTTTGGGGGACAGTGCTGATATTTTCTGATGTTACTGATGTTCTGATTTTTGTCATGGTAGAAGAAATGTTTGAGAAGAAAATTGTGTTGAATCAACATATGGAAGTGAAACCTTGTGTTTCAATTCATTATTTTAGTACGATAAAATGTAAGAATGCCATTACTTCAAAGCAAGTCTTTTCAGTGCAATTTCCACATAGGCTTTTCAAAAACCATATATTCTCAAACTTCCTGCTCCATAAAAGAAGAGAGAAAACTGGCCAAACAAATACATTGGTATGTCCTTTTATTAAAATAGCTGTTGAAATAGTACAGTCTCTGTGGCAAGAAAATCCTTCCTCCAAAGAACTACAAAGAATTATATTTCATAACGATGTCCTTAATAACACTCATCAGGGATTCTATCTCTTGCCCTGCCCATGTTCTAGGAAATTCTGTCTCCACATTGCAAAGAAAAAATAATTTCTTCCATGAAGACTCACTTTCATGGTCAAAATTCAAATAATCTAAGTGATTAATTGAAGAAAGATCAGCTTAAAAGTTAAAGTTTTGCATGACACAACTGGGGTTGTGGTGTCTATTTACTTCTTTGTTCTGTCTGAAAAGTATTGAGCTGAAACACAGTTGTGAGATACTGGATCCAAATCTCACTGAATTATTGATATGGGTTAGAACCAACTCACTGTGAGTGTGGAGGGGAAGGGTGGGGGGAGGACAGGGCTAGACCTGCAGGTCCATGGTATGGCCTGCCTTATCATGTAAGGCATATATCTCCCGTAGTAAGGTCTGATCCATGCTCATTGTACAGAGACCCTTCTGAAGAACAACTAAGGGGCACATAAAATTTTTACCAGTAGTTCAGCATTTTTTCATGTATGTTGCCCTTCTGCTTAAAAGGCCTTTGAGTATGAAATCCATAGTCAAAAGTCAGCATTTGAGCAAAGAACAGTTTTTCCTGCTTACACTTCCCATCAGAGTCCTGGCAAGGGCACTTCCTCATGGCCCTCCTTACCTACCCAGTGAATTCCAGAATTGCGGAAGCTTTTCTGAAAGAATGCTTGTCATCCAGCACTTGCTGAATGTCACCAAATGGATTTTGTGGAGTGTTTTGAAAAAAGAAACAGGTGAGAAAGAGAAATCTGTCTAAGTCCTTGCACAGGAATGTTGAGCTCTTCCTTTGTCCTTGCTGAAATTCATATGTGTTTCATGCCAGCTAATGCCTATATAAACCATTTAAATTACGGAGATACAGTTATTTCCACCAGCTGAAGATCCAAGCCTATATTCTGCTGATACAGTTTGGCATGGCTATAGCCTCAGTACATTTTTTGTGCAAATGAAGGCACTTCAAAGAGAATCTCTGAAACATCAATAAAATAGAAAGACTGAGTTACCTAGAAACACATTCTAATGTTTATCATGTAAGGATCTGACCCAAAGACATTAGCAGGAAATTCTTGTGCCATCTGTGAGAAGTTCTTGCAAATAAAGGGTTTTCTCATTAGAGATGGACCTTTTTCCCTTTTTTGTTTCATCTTTCAGCAAATTCTTTGGAAAATGCAGGTTTTGAGTAGCCAGACTTCTCAGCATATTCAAATGGGATGTGCAGAGGACCTTCAACTGAAACAAAAATGACACAATAATTCATGAGTACTTAAAGTACTTCTTTGAGAAAAAAAAAAAAATTGATAGATGCAAATGTGTTTCTAGGCTCACGTAACAAACCAAAAAGGATCTGTTCCACTTTCACCTGTCAATACAGTCATCAGACCCCTGAAACAGCCAAAACTCCCAGGTAAGCTTAAGCGTGCACCCACCACCTGTGCTCTCTTGTGTCCAGTACAACTCTGCTCTCTCTTGGCTCTTGATGCTGTTCCATTCTGCATGAACAAAATCTTTCAACCAAGGAGGCATTAAGCATACTGAGGATTTGTACAAATCAACCTGTAAGCGGAACACTGAAAATCACAGCACCCTTCTCACTTAGATGTCTCATTAATTCAGATAAGTACTGCTAGGGCAATCCCACAACTTGACTACTTTCACAAACTTTCAAGCAGTAGTGTCATTTCATTAGCTCACATAGCTTTAGGCAATTGTGGAAGAGAAAGTACAGGAGTCTTGTTATGATATGTTGAAGTCCTGTTTTGAAATTTATGTTTCCATTTCGCTTTGGTGGAAAAATTAATCTATAAAAATCCATGTTTTAAATTCAAGTATATAATCCCATTCCACTTCAAGCACTGATGAAAAGCGTGTTGTTTCCTGGGATGAAAATCATATGTGCTACTTTGGGCAATCACATTCTATGGCCAAGATCAGACAAAAATATTTGCACCATTGTTCCAGGAAAAAAATCCATCCTCTAATCAGTCTGATTGACTGCAGGCCGGGGACATTATTTTTCAGCAGCTCAGTTGAAAAAAATGTACATTTTTACAGCCCTACTGATCATATTCAGACACATTAACACCTCTGTAGATCTTGTAAATTTTAAAAAGTCCAGAAAGAAGTAATTTCAGCTATGAAAGCTAAAATCATTTCAGTCCTTATTTACATCCTAAAATGTTTTTCCTGAAAAAAATTCTCTAAACTTAACCTAGTTTTCTAGAAGAAGATTCAAGATGATGAACCCATCCTTATTTTAATCTGACTCATGGCATACTATTCTTATATTTAGAAGAAAGCCACCTTGAATGAGTCCTGAAAGAGGGATTCAGATATTTTAAACAAGGGCTTTCTGTACACAAGCAGCACTGAAACACCATCTTTCCCCCGTGAAGATTTGACTTCATTATATCAAATGCTAAAGACTGTCTCACTAAACAATCTTATGCTTTGAGCTCATTTCCTAAAAAGTATTTTGATTTCCTAGTAGTGTAGCTGGCAGCAGAGAAAGATATGCCCTGTATTTTTCTAATGTTTATTATATTGTCTTCCTACAAGAGCTTTCTTTTTGCCTCATTACATTTTTCCCATTGCAAGTTTTGATTGGGGTCCAGGGGATTGTGGTTGGGTTCTGTGGGGATTTTTTTTCCTGGTTCTCTCTCTCCATGCATATTTCATGTGCCCATTACTTTAGGTGCCATAAACACAAATTAAAACCAGCATCATTTCTGTCAGAAAGGACCATATTTCTCAACTCATTCATTATTTATATTGCTTCCTTAAGTGATGGTGTTCTTGCTTGTTTGTCTCTAATAGAGGACACAAGTTATTTCACAGCCTTTGTCTGTTACTGAGATTGGGCTGATCAGGATCTCCACTGAATTGTAAAAGCAATGAGGCTCATCTATGCCAATAGATATATGCAGGAACAAAGTTTGCAGCTGAATAACCTGTATCAGGCAGCCACAGAAACCGCATCAGCCTCACCTTTCACTGTGTGTCATGGTAAGAAGATGATTTGTGTGTTTTTGGACCATTTGATCATCGAATATTTAACCTCTGAACCCAGAATGGAGTATGACTTGCATGGTGCATAATCAGTCTTCAACTATGAGTAGATAAAGATCTGTCTTTTGTCACTGTGTCTAGTCTGGTGAACCTCATGTTCTTCTGCGGAACAAGTGCATTTAAAAACCATTTAACTTCCCTCTCCTGCTGCTTTCACTTCCAGGAAACTTCCAGGTTCTCTCCACTCTAATTTTTACCAAGCTTCCTATTTCCATCTTGTACTTATATATGGTTAGATTTGACCTACCTTTTCTTTTTTAGTGCCAACATTACTATTCTCTGACTACATAGTTCTTTTCACCAGAGCACATTAAAACCAGAGTACCTTGAGGGAGCAGCTCCAGAGGCTCGCACATTTTACTTCATTTTGCTAAAAATGTGTCTGTGCGGCTAAAACAGATTCAACTCCACTAATTTTGACCAGTGGTCATTTGAGGCCTGCAAAAGTCATGAGATTGAAGTGTCCTGCGTTTTCCTAGATAAATGGTAGGAGTTTGTTTCCTGCAATCAAAGCGTCTGTTTTTCACATTTTCAATCTGTTCCACACAAAGTAGGAAAGCCACACATTCCCTTTGAAAGAACAGAGATGAGCTTCTCTAGATGTCATCTGAAAGAAGACTGAAGCATTGAGAAAAACATATAATGCTATGAAATTCATAATAAAATTGCAAGACTTGACCACATTCATTCTCATTCATTCCAGTAGATAAGAAGGATGAGCAGGTCTATGACACTATATACTGCAAGGCCATCAGTGAGTTCATCCTGAAGAGGTGCTGGAGGACTCTCATCTGTTATTGGCACAGTCAGCAAGGACACTATCTAAATGCAAGATTCCCATTGCACAGGTCATTTGAAGGACACTTTATTTCCTTCCCCCTCAACACCTACAGTGCTGTGGATGTCTTGTTGAAGGAGAGGCAACAGCTCAGGTCTCGTACACTCAATCTTTATAATTCTTGTGAGTCGCATAAGGACCAGAGCTTCATTTTGAGAGCAACCTGTGGTTTCTGATGCTGTCATTGACAGCTAACCTTGCAACAAACCTGATCTTCAGCACCAGTTGTCCTGTTGTTTCGGAGAGCTGAAGGAGAATCAATAAATGCTGTGGCAATGGATGTTTGCTGTTAGGCTGGTGTGTTTCCTTGCTTTCAGTATGTCACAGCTAAGAGTGGGGAGGGCACGACATTTCCCCTGCAGGAGTACAGCCTACCTGGGAGGAAGGAAAGGAGAAGGAAAGGGGAGGAAGAAGAAAAGAAGGAGAAAGGAAGGGAAAGAAGGGCAGGAAAAAATAGGGCCATGAGGAGCAGTGCTGTGCCAGGCATAAATTAAATACCGAGTGTGGCCCTAACACATCCCATCGCTTTCCCTTCCACCATCTATTGTTACTCTCAAGGGACTCTGAATAACAGAGACGACTCTTACTATAATAACTACAAACATTTTCACCCATTTCCATCAGCTCCTTTCATCTTTTTCTTTTTAAGGAGTCCTTTAGACAGCAATCAAAACTCTAAAACATCAGAGCTCTATCAGAGCAGAGTAACAATATTTAAACAATATTAGGCAGGTTATTAGCCCCTGGTGGTGCAGAGCCATCACTCTCTCTCCATGTCCTCTGCAGGCAGCACCGCAGGCGAGGCCACCAGGGCTGCTGGCAGGGCAGGAAAGCACTGCCACCACGTGCAAACCCAGGTCCTCCACATCCCTGTGTCAAGAAAACAATTTTTAAAAGCCCATATTCACACTCTCTTTTTAGTCCCTCACCTTAATGAAACTGCCACAAGTCCCTCCGGTTGGTTTTTTGGGTTTTGCAGGCTATAATTACTCCATCATTTCATAATTGTTACTCTGTGAATTATTATCTCAGCCTGTTCCTTCACACATTGTTTTTAATCACCATTTTTTTAAGTAACTCTGTATAGAAAAAAGCTGCTAATATCATAGACCTTTTTAACAGCTGTTTATATTAACTGTGTGATGGCAGGGCACGTAGCAATCTGCAAAGTGCAGAAATAAGAAATTTCCCACTGGTGCTGAGAAGAGAATGTAGAATATGGCTTCGAGACTTAAAAGACAAAATTAGGACCTCTCTATGTGGGGAATACGGCTTCAAGACAGAAGACAAAATTAGGTCCTGCCTATGTGGGGATGCTAAGGAAAGGCAAACTGAGCTAAGTTGAGGTGTGGATTTAAACTGCATCAGGTAAATCACATTACATTGCAAAGTGGATTAAAAGAAACGGAATTAAAGCCTATTTTAAATTAAATCTGAAAAAAAAAAGAAAAAGTCACCTGAGTGAGGTAATGCAATTTAACCAACACATTTAAAGCAGAATTTTATTAACTTTCCTGCAGGTCCTGTCCTGCACAGATTAGGCCCAGATCACAATGCATGTGTAACCGGAAGTGGCTGGCAAAGGAAGACATTCCCACCTGTGGTGCTCTTTGGCACCAGCTTGCTGAAATTAATTTTGTTCTGCTCTACACCTGTGTCAGAGAAAGCAGCCTGGCTCCTGCTTCAGTTATCTGAATGCCAGACAAATAGGCACTGTCTCTGTTTTTGGTTTACACACATGCAGAATGGGGAGGCTACTGTGCTCTGAAAAGGGTGAACGATGAAGCAAATACTTATGCATTACTCTTGTCTGTTCAGCACTAAAAGATATAAGACAATAAAAGGAAAAAAACATGCACAGTTGTCTAAGTAAGGACAGATAGATCAGTTCTTTTATTCTCCTTTTGTCATTACACTATTATTAGCAATATCAGCTTGTGCTTAGCGTTTACATATTTGTACTATCAGTGAAATCAAGATATCCAAGCAAAATTCCCTATACATATGAAATAATTGAGAATCTGAGCTCCAGATACTTGCTTTCAGAATCAAGCAATATTTAAGAACTGCAGCTTGATTCTGCTTCATCATAGTTTCCAAAATCAGCCTGTGCCTGGTTCAGTCCTCTGGATGACAGCAAAGCTGTTCAGAATTGCCATGAACAATACCTTTAGCAAGGCTAATAAGCAGTTCCTTCCTGGCTCAGTTTCACATCACAGTTAAAGGTTAGGGACATAAAATAAAGGAAATGTTAAAGGCTTTCCTAAATATTACATTTCATTCCCAGCTTTGTAACAACAGTGTGGACTCAGCGGTATGCTATCAT